TGGAGGGAAGGGCAAAGCTCACACCAAGCAAGCTCACAACTGGGTCCTTTATGACAGTACCACCAGCCACCACCACTGCCCCTCCTCCAGCTGAGCTTCCACCTTCCCCTCCAGTTTTGTCTCCACCATCTTCACCAACTGTTTCCCCTCCTCCCCAATCTCCTCCCGCTACAATTCCCCCTCTTTCTCAATCAATTGACACCTCACCAAAGACAACTGCCACATCATCAGTCCACTAACTCCGTTTCCTTCTATTTAACGGAAGGGACTGATTAGAGTCAATTAATTACAAGTAAGGATCCATTCAACTCACTTTTCTATAAAGGGACTAATTTGAGATTTCCGAACCAAAGTGGGGACAAAATTGGGTATTTTGCCGAAATTTAATGGGTCCTTACCCAAACTAGGAGTAACTACATCAACCAACACTACATTGAGACAACCATTGTGAAACCCGATGACCACCATCGTGTACCACTACGTGAATCGTCACGAAACTCATACCCATAGTGCGCCTTCACTGTAGACCAGAAGGGCGAGTCTTGCGCCTCGCCGTCAGCCTTGAACAACACATTGCCTTGATCACCGCGATGTTATCGTATGACGGGGATTGCAAATCACCACAGATCCTGTTGTAGAAAAAATGACAAAATCACAAACAAAATTTTTCGAGGTGTGTAGATCATTGTCCTTAAGGACTTATCCGCGGTGTATTGCACAAGCCCCCCAGGATACAACAGACACTTACCAAAAATTTCTAAGGATCTCAGAACTAGCAAGGAACTATAAATAGAGTAAAAGAATAAACCATGATTTTCTCAGAAGGAAAGATAAAAGAGAGAATGAGAGGATGAGAGAAATGTTTAGGTTTGTTTTTGGAGTGAAACAAGTGCTCTATTTATAGATGCTGAAAGGAATGATCCAAGGTAAAAAAAACTTGTAGAATAAGTTGCCCGAAATTGATTTTGTGCCTTGTGGAAGGAGATTTCACGGAAGATACTATCCAAACTAACTTTTGAGACATGTGGAAGGAGATTGAACGAAGGAGAGAGAGAAAACGTTCATTCAATAACGTTTCTTAGCCTTTTGGGAAGACTTTTGCAATACAAATATAACAATCCCCCACATATTGCAAAAGATCAAACATTAACTAAAGAAATAGAAAGAAATATCCTTACTTTCATAAGATGTAATGCATTAGAGCTGGTATAACAAGCTATATGAACAAGTTCTAGATCGACAAACTTAATACAGAATGTAGTTGGTATAACAAGTTATATGAAACAAAGACACTTGAGTGTGTTAGAGGTTTATCAATCACAATACACCCCCACAATCCTTACTATTATCGTTGTGATGCGTTTACTAGGCCATGCGCGTGCTCTAGAGATTATGCTAAGATCTCATGCAAGCAACCCCACTTGACACTCATATAAATAGATTTGATTGTTGGCCTCGAATTGACAAGGGATTTAGGAGCGACCACAATAGATTATCTAACGGATTCGCAGCTCTTAGTGGGACAAATGAATGGTAACTGAGCGCCCAAGGAGAATTCCGTAAAGTCCGAAATCGGAACGCTCGACTGACCTGTTGGCTGACAAGAGCAAACCAGGTAAGAGTGAGTATCATTAATGGCCAATTAATACGTTTAATGGTCGTATCAAGGGCAAATATACTTTATTGGTGATTAACAGGATATATTGCACAAAAATATATTGTCTTAATGGATAATTAATGGGTTGGATGATTATGAAGCCTATAAATACAAGATTAATGTCCAGGTAAAAACATCATTTTCCAAATTAACATAAGAGCACACTTAAGCAACATTTCTTACTTAAGCGTCGGAGTATTTTCTGCATGTCAACCACCGATTGGGAGAACAACGTACACAAATTAGTAGATCGGAGAACAATCCATTGGTCAGGAGAAGTTAGGACGATCAGCCTCGGATCCCTTCCAACAGAAACATTTAATAACAATGGAAATGAGAACATAATTTGAAAAAAAAATTTAAGAAGGTGAAATAAGAAATGATAAGTGTGATAGTAATTACTTAAATTTTAAGAAATGTAAAGAGCACAAAAATAAATTGTAGAAACTAAATTACCAAGAAAAGTAAAAGAACTTGTAAAGCAAATAAATGAGAATGATGACTTAAATTGCAATAACCACACTAAATTAGTCATTTTTCCTGTTTGTATCTGAATGTATGTATTGTTCTATAATTTATCACTCTTGTAAAATACAAAATCCACCTATTTATATTTTCTAACCCTTCTTTTATGGTTATCCTGAGTAAAATCAAAATTTAAACAAGTTACATGCTAAACTGCCTTATAACTTTCATAGAAAAGAATTTCTGGTTGACTTCCAATTAAATGCCACATGTCTTGAGTAGTTAATATCCATTATATCTTCATAGTAGTAGTTGCTTTGTTCTTCTTTTTTATTTGCTTCGATCTTTACTTTGATTATCATTTCTCGATCAACATTAGCGATATTATTTCATCATTTTTTCATGCTATGCTTGGTTTGACTTCTTGTGGTCTTGATTATTTTCTATTATTGGATTTATCTTTAAGGTGTCATGAACTTTAACCAATTTATTTCTACACCTCAATGAACTCAACTTAGTTGCAGCTGCACTAACACACGTTAAAATATCCAAAGAACATTTATACAGCTTAAAACTTATTTTTAACATGTTTTTGTACCTCATGCTAAATAAACCTAATTATAACACATCCTAATTAAAATATTCTATCAAAGTACAAAAACCAATTAAGAATCCAATATTAAAGGTTAAATGAGGGCATAAATATGTACTCATCACATCCCCACACTTATCCTTTTGCACTTTTAGGCAAAACTGAGTAATTTCAAAACTTTATTCCAGGTCNAGGCAAAATACCCAATTTTGTCCCCACTTTGGTTCGGAAATCTCAAATTAGTCCCTTTATAGAAAAGTGAGTTGAATGGATCCTTACTTGTAATTAATTGACTCTAATCAGTCCCTTCCGTTAAATAGAAGGAAACAGAGTTAGTGGACTGATGATGTGGCACTAGTCATTGGTGAGGTGTCAAGACGTAATTAAAAATTTATAAAAATGAGAAAAGAAGAGTCCATGTCAGTGGGGGCAAAAGGGAAATGTCCTTGGACTGTGCTGCAAATCCTCCTCCCTCCGAAGACTGAACGCAAGATCCGAGCTGAAGATGGTATTGATAATCTTCATGGGACCAGCATAGGACGAACCAGGAAAAAAGGCATACGCAATTTCCTTCTTATCCGAATCCGCAGGCATTGAATCCTGAGCATCCTTCCACCACCTGAAACACACGGAATCAACCACCGACACTCTTCACACATTCAATCTCAATCAAACAATGCAGACAGGCTCGTCGACTGGAACGTCGACGGCGAACTCGGTATAGCAGAGGGCAGAGAGGAGGGCGGAGAAGCCGGAGGCAGCGTAGGAGAGGACGATGGCGGGGCCGGCGTGGAACCGGGCCTCCTGTCCGGTGACGACGAAGATACCAGAGCCGACCACTGATCCGAAGGCCAACCAGCTGAGGTCCCACCAGGTGAGGCAGCGGTTCATGCGGTGCTCGCTGGCAAGGGGGAGCACGAGCAGCTCGTGCGAGTCGCTCGAGCGGTTCAGAAGACGGTCCATGAGGCGCGGACACGTGTCAGCCAACGCCGTGCAGTAGGATTTCCCATTCTCGAATGACTTCTCCGGGAAGAAGTCCCGCTTGCTCCACCGCCAGTAGCTTCGATTCTCCGGCGCCGACGACGGTTCCAAAAGAATGGTTGTTTCAGCAAATATAAGGGTCCATGTTAGATGCAGACCTCCTATCCTCAAAGTATCTCTTCCCTTTCTTCTTTGTTTCCCTCCCTACCCTAATAGAAGCACCACGGTTTGGAACACCCTGCATTCCCACATCAACACCACCCACCATCAATAAGGGCTGTTTCACAATGACATATTGCAATTAATGTTATCTTTAATAAATGCCGCACACTAAAACATTCCAGCACGTCCCAGCTCGTTGAATTTTCCCACCAAAATGTACTCAAATAAAGCATACAACACTTACACCAAGGTGCTTCTATTCTTCTCAACAACTACAGCGATGCAATAAACTCGATGACGAGGCTATCCATCCGTTGTAGCAAGAATTGATGGACGCTTAAAATTATAAGATTCCTCTGTGGCGAGCTCTTTTTGTTATGGCAGAGAATCCATCTGTGACAAGAAAATTCCTTGGAGGGAAGGGCAAAGCTCACACCAAGCAAGCTCACAACTGGGTCCTTTATGACAGTACCACCAGCCACCACCACTGCCCCTCCTCCAGCTGAGCTTCCACCTTCCCCTCCAGTTTTGTCTCCACCATCTTCACCAACTGTTTCCCCTCCTCCCCAATCTCCTCCCGCTACAATTCCCCCTCTTTCTCAATCAATTGACACCTCACCAAAGACAACTGCCACATCATCAGTCCACTAACTCCGTTTCCTTCTATTTAACGGAAGGGACTGATTAGAGTCAATTAATTACAAGTAAGGATCCATTCAACTCACTTTTCTATAAAGGGACTAATTTGAGATTTCCGAACCAAAGTGGGGACAAAATTGGGTATTTTGCCTATAAAATACATAATATATAATCAGATCTATATACTTTATTTTTTAAAGTCAGCATGTAAAGCATCTTTACGAAGTGCTACAAAAATAATTAAAGAATTAAAATTCTGATAAATTTTATTAACTTGTAGGGTAAGACCAACTATCAAAAAGATGGATTAAATATTAAAATTGTCAACAAAATACTAAACTGACAATCTTAACTTAAGTATCCACTATATCAGTAAACATAGAAAATGATAATTTCATTTCTATTATTGACAGAAGTAATTACATGTACTTTAACTATAATATAACATCTGCATGTTATCCAAGTTAGAAACAAGTGGAGTCTTCTGATCCAAGAAACTATAAGCAAAATAGTATCAAGTTATTTTCTAATATGTGACAAAATTTCAAGATTTCATGCATTTCAAATCACAGCTCGTCCTTCCTACAACTTAGTCATTCATTCCCAATCATGGTAATGGAATCCAAAATAATAAACATTAGTTGTCTGCATATAATAGGCAACATAAATTTGGTTTCCACAGCTCATTACACTAAACAACAAATGGACAACACATAACATAGTCTGATCTCAATTTTCTTTTCAAATTGCAGTGTCTTGGCACCTTAGAATTCTTCTTAAATCATAAAATTCAGGAAGTGGAAATGATTTGTTAGCACTAAATCAATTAACTAACTGTATCCCTGTCAAAGGAAGCCCGGCATGAAGCTGAAGAGCAACATCACTAACAGTCTGCAGCAGAATAAACAGGCAAGAAAAGTATCAGATTTGACAGGAGTTCATTGGTCCTCTCTCTTTTCTCTTAATCAATATATATTAAATGATAGCATATATAATTCAGAAAAATAAATTACAAAAGCAATTTAAGCATAGGGAAAATGAATTTTTGTGGATTCAGATACTTCAGAGGAAGGGCAAATGTGAAAATATTAGTAGACAATAATGTTAGTCTAAAATTATAAAAAATAATAAAAAAGATTTTCCATTTCAAAGACTTATTTACAGAAGTAATTAGAAACATGGAATTATTTCTTCCCTGCAATATGCTTTGATTCTTTCTGTATAGAAAAGACCAAAAATTAAAATATCAGGAATGAAAATGCATATAAACCATTCATATAACTTTGACGACAAAGCGTCACTTTGTTTGGTTTCCTCAACCCACTACTAAAGAAAAATTGGTTCTCCCCAGCAATAGAACAACAAATGCACAACACATACTATAGCCTGATCTCAATTTTCATTTCAAAATGCAGTGTTTTGGCACCTCATAATTTTTCTTAAATCATAAAATTCAGGAAGTGGACAATAATGAAATGATTTGTTTGTCGTAAATCAATTAACTAACTCTATTCCTGTCAAAGGAAGCCCTGCATGAAGCTGAAGAACAACTTCACCAACAGCCTGCAATGGAACCATAGGCAAGAAAAGTATCAGATTTGACAAGAATTTATTGGTCCTCTCTCTTTACTTTTAATCAATATATTCAATGCTTAAAAGAAATGATTTCTTTTAAGCATAGGGAAAATGGATTTTTGTGAAATGGCCCCACACACCTTAGCCATGGATCTATAAGAATGTTCTGTGACGCCTGCAACATGAGGACTCATGATAACATTCTTAAATTTAAATATCTGGTCATCAGGGTTAAACGGCTCAGTGCAAGCAACATCAGTGCCTAACCCTCCTAAGTGACCTGATTCAAGGTTGTTTATCACAGCCTCATAATCCACAATACCACCTCTAGCAATATTTACCAGAAGCGCACCCTGTAATATACAATTGCTCAATAACAAGGAAATTCATCAAAAATCTACAACTAACTAGCAAATTAAACCAAATGATATTTCATTAATGTTGCATTTGCTTGTTTTTCTACAAATAATTTGGTGTTAGCAGGAGAACTATTAAATTTGTGATGATTTCACAGTGACAGAAAACAAAAACAAATGGTAAGAACAGTTATAAAAGAATAGGCTGAGATCCATTTTTATTTAGGTATGTAAACATTGCGAAAAACAATAACCAGGAACAAGAACAAAAAGTGCTGACCAGAACAGAATATTATTGTTTTCAAAAAAACAAAAATCAATACACTCACAGTTTTACCAAATAGAGTTTCAGTAATTAGCTCTCCAAGCTTCTTCTGTTGTATGGAAACTTGCAGTTCATTTTGCATGAACCTTATTTGTTTTCTTCAATATGCATTTAGAAAGAACAAAATTTTTCATTTCAAATTGAAGATATCATACATGCTTTCGGAGAAGACCTAGCATTAGATATATGGCCATTTCAGCACACGAAGTTGAATTTCCTGTAACATCACTTGGGATCCTGGCAACTTTGATTCCATGCTTTGTTGCGGCATCAATATCAACACCTTGGAGAAAAATTTTTGATTCATCAATTTGAAACTCCAGTGAGGTTTAACGGGATGGATGAAAACATAAAATGCAAAATCACTTCTACAATAAATATGGAAAACAAGTATCTTGCTCAAATTCTGCAATAAACCTCAAGTGACAGTAATCACAGTACCTTCCAGCCCAACACCATACTGCATTATCAGCTGCATCTGAGCGGTACGAGAAATTATATCAGAATCTAGCCTAATGCTTTTTACTATGCAGACATTATAGTTGGCAATATCCTTGCGCACATCTTCAAAAGAGAGAACATCAACCTACAAACGCCACATACTGAGAACATTTTTCCCAAAGTAATACAAAGATTGTATAACCGCAAGGCTAGTAGTACTATCTAGAAATTGAATTGGCAGTTATCTTAAGCCACAAGTAACTGCACATAGAAGAGTTACCTAATAGGGTAAAAACACAAACACAAGTTTTAGTGACAAATAGAATGCTAAGGAAATACTCATTAACAATTTTATTTTACCTTGGTACTGGGATGATTTTGCAAATACTCTGCTGTATATTCATGAGAAGCAGGGAAATGGGGTCCACAAAACAAAACTCGAGTGGTTTGTTTCTCGACATGCTTTACCAAGTTCCCATTACTCTCCATGATACCTCTTCTACAACATGAAGCAATATTGAAATAAGAAAAGAATGCAATTCAAACACTGCAATAAAGTCAACTTGTATTTTAAGTTGGGTGTGTGGGATGGGTTGATGTAGCCTTTGAAATATAGGTAAATTGAAATTTGAAGGTAGAAGGAAAGAAAGAACGTACGAATGAATGTATTCGAAAAATGATTTGGTTGTCGTGCGATGAAGATGGTGCAAGCGTTGAGTGTGACTGAATGGATCAGAGAGTACTCTGTTTACGCCGCTTTTTCTGTTCAGTATTACTCTGCTAGACATTTTATGTCATCAATTTCCAAGTTTGGAATACTTTTTGTATTATGTATAGGTTAGTAATATAATTTTATGTAATGTTTAGTTATGATTTGAATACTAATATAATTTAATGTAAATTTTTTATTATATGTGTTAGAATAATTATTAAGTCTACCTATGATTAGTATAGCAGGGCCTAAAGTAGGTAGTTGTGTGTTGGGTTAAAGTAGGTAGTTGTGTGTTGGGTTATCTATAATGATTGTTCCTAGCAGTGTAGGACAATCTCTTCATCTTCCATCTATCTATTGTATCAGATTTTTATCTATATAAATAATAGAACTGAGAAGGGTCTTCTAAGCCCTTTAGAACTATTTTTCTCTAGATCTCAAGTTGGTATCAGAGCATGTTCATCCTGCTCTGGTTTCTGTCCTAGTTGTCCACCAGCACTGTCATTGCTGTTTGCACCTGTCCGGTGCCGTTCGCCGTTGTCCGTGACTGTCTCGCCACTATCTGCAGCTGTCAACTACAGTTTGAAGTTCTTCAACTTGGTTGTCCGCCATCTCGCATCTATTCGCTGCTGTCCACCGCCGTACGCCGCTGTCCGTCGTAGGCCGCCGTCACTATTCTGTCCGGCGACCACTGAATCTAGTTCGCCTCTTCACGCAACAGCCAACCCCACCGGTGGGTTCGCCTGACTCTCCTCCACGCTCCGCCACGCGCAGCCTTTTTGTGTGCTGCGAACAGGTGCCTGTTGTCCATGCGCCGCCCTCTGCTCACCGGAAAGTCGCCGCGTCACCTCCATAGTTGTCGCCCTCTGCTCCTCTATCCGTTCTGACCCTCAAAATCTTACTTTGGTGTGTCCAGAAGCTCCCCTTTAAGAAAACCGTAATAAACCCTCTAGGGTTTTCTGGTTCTTCACGGTTTTTTCTGTTTCCCTTCTCCTGTTTTTAATCAAAGATGGCGTCCTGGACGTGCTCTTTCCCCTTTCTTTTCTTTCTCTGTAAGTCCCTTCAATCCTTCCGAAAGCTAAACGGCAAGAATTATTTTGTCTTGGTTTGGCTGCTGTGGAAATGTGTTCCTTGGTCAATAGGACCATATGACCACCTTGACTGTGATGGGAGCCAAGTAACCTTCTGCCAAAGCTGAACATGGAAACAAGCTGATTTCCAATTGTGTGCCCTATTGTGGCAATTTGTGGAACCCCGACTTTTGATATCTCTTTGAGCCTTCAAGACATGTCACACGTTTTGGAAGAGAGCTCAAAGCATTTATGCTAATGATATTCAACGTCTCTATGATACCGCAAACAAGCTCGCCTGTCTCAAAATGACAGACCATGATATGGTCCTCCTTCATGACTGAAGGAGCGAAGCCCAAGCACGTGGAAGATTGAGAATTTTCTGGGAGTGGCATCTTCAGAAGATTATCAAAAAGAAGCTTGACAAGTATTATATGGTGATGATCCTCCGTGCTTTGCATCCAGATTTGAATCACATCAGAGATCAACTTCTTACAAGTCATGAGGTCCCTTCCCTTCCTTGGAAGCCTTGACCACACGTCTTCTTCGTGTTCCTGTGCCTCAGTCTCAGGAAGTCCTTCATGAGTGAAGCCCAAGCAATGTGGAAGAATTGAGAATGTTCTTGGAAGTGAATCTTCAGAAGATATCAAAAAGAAGCTTAACAAGTATTATATGGTGATGATCCTCCGTGCTTTGCATCCAGATTTGAATCACATCAGAAATCAACTTCTTACAAGTCATGAGGTCCCTTCCTTGGAAACCTTGACCACACGTCTTCTTCGTGTTCCTGTGCCTCAGTCTCAGGAAGCTCATGAAACAATGGAACCATCTGTCATGGTTGCCATGCGAGGAAGAGGAGGACGTGGCACTAGAGGAGGAGGACGTGGAGGTCGAGGACGTCCGCAGTGCTCTTATGTAAGAGGGTGGGTGACACCCAAGAAAACTGCTACTCCTTGCATGGCTTTCCTTCAAAAACCGCCAATATCTCTAAGGTTGAAACTTCCACTTCCAACTCTAAGTTCATTGAGGAAGAGTATCAAGAGTATCTGCGATTAAAGTCTAATAGTTTGGCGCAATCATCTCAGTCCCCAAGTACGTCCACAGCTTGCATTTCTATGTCCATGGAAGGTCTAAATTCATGGGTAATTGACTCGGGTGTTTCTGATCACATTTCTAGTAATACCTCATTGTTCTCAACCCTTTCCCTCCAAGAAAAACCCCTTTCATTACCTTTGCAAATGGCTCTAAAACTTATTCAAAGGAGTCGGTCAAGTCTCCCTATCTCCCCCTCTAACTCTAAATCTGTTCTTTTTGTCCCTAACTGTCCATTCAATTTAATTCCTTAAGTCAGTTAACCAAAATGTTACATTGTTCAATAACTTTCGATCAAATCTTTTGTTATAAACAGGAGGAGCGGGCTCGGGGAGACAGATTGGAGAAGGGATCTGAAGCTTGAGTTTATCCATTTTGGATCTCGTCACGGTATCCTGTGTTTGCAAATCTCTTCCCCCTAAAGTGTACAATGATCGGTTTGGCCATCCCTCTTGTCAAAGTTAGAAAAGATGTGTCCTGAACTAGTATCTTGTCCTCATACGTTAAATGTGAAGTCCTGTCAACTCGAAAACAATGTTAGATCTGTCTTTCCTAAAAGGTTCTCAATCATGTTTACTTCTAAGTTTCCTCTATTTTCATTCTGATGTCTGGGACCTAGTCGCTTCTCTTTTGTTTTTTAGGTATTTTTTACTTTTATTGATGTATTCTAGATGTACTTGGTTTATCTAATGAAATATCGCTCTGATTATGACACATTTTTTTCATTCACATCCTTTTTGAAGAATCAAAACCAATTGGTCCACCTAATTAAAGTTGTTAGGATATTTATCCTATTTTATCATCTATAGTGTGTCCACGGTTACCCATTTATCATGATTATAAATTGTGTCTAGATTTACCCTATTTATCATGATTATATTTTTCCTAGGGTTACCCTATTTATCATGTACTTGTGTAATCAAGGTAATTTCGTTATAATAGAAGATTGTGTGAGAGGGATAATACCCCTCTTAAATTATTGTACAGTTCAATCTTAAGAATGTATCTGCGCAGGTTCTCCTGATCTCTTCTTTGGCCTCTGCTGTCTGCCGGCGGCCGTCCGCCATGGCCGCCGGCAGCCCCTAAAATTTCAGTCGGCAGTCCATTTTCTCTTCTTCTCAGTGCAGCCAGTCGCTGACCATCGGCTTTCCGCTGCCGTCGCTGCTACCGTTGTCGGCGTCACTTTCCGCCGCCATCGCCACTTTCTGGCCAGTCCGTCGCCGGCCGCCGTCACAGTTTCGACCGGTGACCAGCAGATCTGAAACGTCTCCTCGAGCGACGGCCAACCCCGTCAGAGACAAGCACAGACTCCGCTCAACGCGCCTCGACGCGCCGCCTTCTTCTCGTCAGATCTCGGGCGCGTGTTCTGCACGCGCCGCCTTTCCGGTGTCGGAGTTTCACCGCGACACCTCTATAGCTCTCGCCGGACCTCCCTCTCTCTGTTCAGATCTTCCAGAGCAGCCATTGCTGCCATCTTCGTCTCCGCCGCTGATTGTCCAGGCACCGTTTTCCGCTGTACAGGCACTGTTTGCCGCTGTCCAGCCATTTTTTGCCGCTGTCCAGTTTGTCGCTGTCCGCACCGTTTTGCCGCTGTCCGCGCCGTCTGCCGCTGTCCGGCGCCGTTTTGCCACTGTCCGGCACCGTTTTGCCACTGTCCGACGCCGTTTGCCGCTATCCAGCGCCGTTTGCCGCTGTCCAGGCACCGTATGCTTCCAACCACTATATGCCCCCATCACCTCGTCAGTTAGTGATGGCAGTCCCTGTAGTTTTGTCGCTTCCAGCCACTACAGGTCCCATCAGTCACTGATGGCAATTTAGTCCCTACAGTTTTATATCAGTCAACTATCGCGCAAATCGCTATAACCGCCTCATACGACGCAACTACCTGCGTCATGTCTTCTTGTGCCTAGAGTTAGCCCCGATCTCTGTGATACACTGCAAGTATCCCCACCCTTTGGGAGTTGTTCCAACAAGAATTTGGGACCTCCAACGTATCTTTGGATCTTTGATGTCTGTGTTTCAGCATTGTAGCTTAATATTTTGTTTTGTTTTAGTGGTCCAGCAACTGTGATATTCCACATTTCCGTCGTTCACACTGAGGGGGAGTACGTTTTCCAATACACTTACAAGTCACATATATATGGTTGTGTCCCTGCAGTTTTTGTAGATTTCAGCTACTACTTTGATCCCGTAACCGCATCCATCATTGATAGATTTAGTGTAGTCCTGTAGTTTTGTAGCTCTTAGTTTCACTACCAACCACGTTGAGTCCCGTCACTCATCCATCTTGATTGGGAATCATCTGCAGTTTGTCATTGTCCACCCTGCCTCTCCGTCATCCACTTTGAAGTTGAAGTTTCACAAGCTGCTGTTATCCCTCTATGTTTGCCTCACAACACGCTTGAAGACAAATCATCCTAGTTCAACCTGAGTTCAATCTATTCCAAGCTGTTCAATACATTGTCTTCTCAGCTTGAGGGGGAGGTAGGATTTTAACCTCTTTTATCAGATTATAGTGTGTCAGGGTTTACCCCTATTTATCCTGAGATAGGTGTCTAGATTTACCCTATATCATGATTATTTGGTGTCTAGGGTTTACCCTATTTAGAGGTACTTGTGTATCAATTTCTTCTTATAAATAAAAGATTGTGAGAGGGATCAATTAATAGAAGCCCTCTACTTATTTACTTTCAATCGTAAGATGGTATCTTGACCAGGTTCTCGAGACGGCTCGTACCCTTTTGCTTGGTGCTCAATTCTGTTCCTCACTGGGGATGCATCTTAACTGCATGTTTTCTTATTATAGGACTGCCCTCCTCCTCTCTATATAAAGTAGCCTTTCCCATTCTCTTTCCATGATCCTCTCGTGCACACTCTCCCTAGTTTGGTTTGTGTTTGTTTTGTTCACGACATGTCTCCGGATCGACAA